TGAGACCTCTGGCATCTAATGCCTGTGTCTGCGTTCGTCCACACCACACTTTTTTCTAATCATACACTGTTCAGTCCACACAGGAAAAAAATATCTGTTACTACTGGAAGCTGCAAGGAAACTAGAACAGCTTTAGGCCTGACACGCTAACTGCCTGCTTGACAGGCAGCTAAAACGAGCTAAAAGCAGCGCAGGCCACAACAAGCCAGAGAAGTCCTGAGATTCTGCACTGCCAGGTCAATGCGAAGCCCCGTGCCTTTTACAAGTAAGGGCAAAATCATATTTAGTGGGCTACGTTCTTGTACTGAGGTAAGAAAAGACGTTCCCTTGTGTCATCTGAGCACAGAGCCGCATTATAACGTCAGCTTCAATAGACCAACGCTTTTGGTTCTGCCAGGGCACTAAAACGAGTTAATGCCCTGGTTCGCTGCTCAGCCTAGGCATTATCCTCCTTGTCGGTCTGAAAACAATCTCTATTCTCACTGCAACGTGGTTGGGAAGCAACAACTGGAAGCTTCGTTTAAACCAACGCTAATTTATTGTATAATACGACTGTTGGTGAAATAATCACAGAGTAATTTAGGTTGAAGGGATGCTGGAGGTCATCTGGACCTGTCCGGCTCATGCCAGTTGCATCTTCAAAATTAGATACAACTTTGAAGTAAGATCCAGCTTTGAAGTTGAAGCAAATTATTTACTCATATCCGTTCAAGTTTTGAGCGGATGGCAGCCTTTCCAGGTCGTCCTGTAGCTACAAAGTGAACTCCAACTCTTACAGCTTTGTTTCAGAAACCATTTTCCTCATTCCTATAAAAATTTCTGATGAGCTGTATTGGATTTTCCTGTCAGTTGGATTATTCAGCTTACAAAAGGAGAAAGAGATTCTTTGTGCTACGCATTCATTAAAGCATCTGTTTTCTTGTCAGACCAAAGCTCTGTCTAGTCCGGTCAGCTGTTTCTTATGGTAACCAGAGGCAGATCTTTATTTTTTTAATACAAGAAAAGGGCCTGTTATGGGATATGTTGTTGGTATACCATTTGGCACTTTAGCGATTCAGTATCGCTAAAGATTGTTTCAGTATCTACGTGTCTTATAGCTCTTGCTGATTTTTTTTCTCTTTTGTGAATTTTTGTAGTTGGACCGAATCTTTTGTTTGCTGTCCCAGAATGATGGGAGTGTCTAATTTTACAGTGTGATCTGAATTGTCATAAAGCAAATATAAATACTGCAGTATAATTTTGTCACTTTAGTTTGTTGAATTAGCGATATCTTGTACTCAAAAGATTGTAATATTGCCACCTGCTGTTCAGAAATGCATTGATTTTGTAGAGCTGCATCACTGCCTCCTGCAGCTGCAGGTAACTGAAAGCAAGAATGAGTAGGGCGGGTCATGTTTCCGTCTTACACTTTCAAAACCCTTTTTCCTCACCCTGGATTTGAGGAAATCCTTCAACCTTTCACTATTCAAAAATAATATTAAAGGCTTATTACGTTTTCACCTAGACATCTGGATTTGAACACCATATACACAGTAATCTGTTATTTATCTAAGTCTGAGCAAATTAAAAGCAAGAGTGTTTAATCTTTGAGGTACGTTCACATAGCTAATTGCAAGCACCTTTTTACCTCAAATGGTTTTTTTGCGTTTCCGAAGTTTTGTTTCAGGTATGCCCATATTCTTGATGATGATAGGGTTGATTGGTGGATCGCCAGTTTTGCTTCAAGTTAGGGAATCGTCCTTGGTTATGATGCAGTATGAGAGTTTCTCATTCCTTTATCATATTGAGTAAATAGCGGATGAAAAGATGTCAGAAAACATTTCTGTTAATGTTCAGATCTTTCTTAGAGAATAATCTCTCTTTTTCAAGAGCTATAACTATACGATGGACGTTATCTTCAGGATAAACTAACTCAATTTCTGAGGACATTTTCTTGTTTCTAAAAATATCTATGGGTTTGGCTTTCTTGCTCATACTTTATGATGTATTTTAAAAGAATGGTTTAAAATTTTAGCATGCAGGACTCAGTAGCTCAGTATTTTATTTTCCAAATACAACACTGTTATGCTGTTAATGCGACTGTGTGACAACACAGAGGATATAGGCTTTTCATTCCTAAATTTGTTAGGCAAAGATATCAAGCTGCAGCAGAGAATTTCTGATATTGCAGCAATTTTGGAAATCTAGTAGTAAAAGTGACTGGAAATACTATGCGTATATGGTTAAGCTGTATATTAGTATGAAACAAATACCCTAGTCTATCACAGTAGTATACCATTATGTCAGAGGTAAGGACTTCAGGGTGACTTTGCCTTTCTGTACCCTAATATGTTTGAATCTTTTTTTTTCTTTTAGCTTTACATTGGAATTTTCAGAGTTGTTAATTCTTTCTTGGGAAGAAATTATACCATCAAATAATTTGTTGCCACTATATTCTACGTAGACATTGCTAGCTTTGTTTTAGCAATTTCTGTTTAAGAATGTAGTAACATAGAGCAAATCAGTAGGATGATCTTACGGATATAATACTGTGGCACTCCAGTGATCTGGCTGTTATAGCTCTACCACGGATTCCCATGCGTATTTGGCTGGTCTCATGTTCTCTCCGTGTCCTGACATGGCACTTGTAAAGTAGAACGACACTTTGTCCTTCTCATTTTGTCTGTCTTCAGTACCATGTAGTTTTTAACTCAGCGTCTAAGGTAGCGTGGTCCTTACCTCACGAGGGTTTTGTAAGCATAACTACTGCATTAATAACTAGACTAGGTTTACTTTGCAGTGTCCCTGCTAAAGAAGTGCTATCTACAGACTTGTGTATTATGACAGTAGGCAATGCAGATCAAGTTATAATTACTCTTATAGATACATGTAGCTAAATAGAGTCCCATCAGTCTTCTCCTTAGCCTGATTAGCAAGGGAAACAGCTAAATGAAGTAAACTGCTGGCACGCAGATATTCTTCAGTTGCCTAGTTCAAGCTGTTCATCACTTCTTTGGTCCAGTTGCTAAGCAGATTTGAGATGTTGCTTCTACTTTGAAATATTCATAGTCAGTTAAATAATGCTCTTCCTCCTCACAGGAGTACTTTTGGAATCCTTCTCCAACAGGTTGTTTTAGTAACTCGCTTGCATTTATCATACTGAATGCCATCACGTGTCAAAGCAGGGTTTTATTCAGTCATGCACATCTCAGAATTTTTTCTAAATGCTTGGTGCTAAGGGAAATGCTCAGAAATGATCTTGGTCTTGAGTGGGAGGGGTCACTGGAAGGATAGTCCATTTTCAATATGTTTTCAAAAAATGTATATAAAATAGTTCTGAGGAGCTGAGAATGTTTCTAAGGAACTTGTGTAGTTTGGGAGATATGGACAAGCTATGTTTTCTGTATGATCTAAAATACAGGCTTTTGCATGGAAACATTTTGTTAATTTCTTTTCCTGTGTTCGTTCAGCATTTTATGACATCGGTTTTTATTTCTCATTATTAAAAAGCAAAAAATAGATTGCCATCAAATTCTGTTATACTATTTTTCTTTTTAAACAGCTTTATCGGACATTCACTGGGTAATTTAATAATCCGTTCAGTGCTCACAAGACCTCGGTTTAAATATTACCTCAACAAACTTCACACCTTCCTGTCTCTGTCTGGACCACACCTTGGTACACTCTACAACAGCAGCGCTCTTGTTAATACAGGTAACACATTATTTTCCATGGTATAAGTTTTGTCCTTGAAATGTTCTCAGGAGTTACATGTAGGGTGCAGATTTCTGCCTTACTCGGATTATGAGAATGTGCACATTTCGCTTTGTTGTCATAAGGAGAGGGAAGGGTCGCAAAAGTAAAGTATTGATGCAGGAGATGACTGACAGTTTGTCAGTATGCTTGAACCAGGTTTTCTGTTATACCTTAAAGAAATTCCAGTTTTAATGTATTTAGCTCAATTTATTATAAGCTGAATTTTAATACACTTCATCTGCAAATAAAGTAGTTAAAATACACTGAAGGAATTCTGAACTAACAGTGGTGTGTTTCTTCTCTTAAAAAGTGTCTTAGGACCTTGTCTTATATTAAGAAAAAAAAGTCTGAATTTCTCTGAATTTTCCAGTGTGTTTTTTTTGTGCTATGTGCATACCTTGTGAATGTCTCTTTTTCTCAGCACGTTCTAAAGGCTAAGTATAGTGGTAGGAGAACTTGTAGAAACTGCTGACTTTTGAAATAAACATTAGAACATATTTTCAGATAGCCTAAAATTTTTAAATAAAGAACTAAGGATGAAAACTTGTTTCTGAGGTTACCGCTTACCTTGATGGGCCCCAAACCAAACTGAATAACACTTATTTTCATTAAATATGAACATGCTCATTAACCTGTTGAAGATACTAAAGAACGTGAAGAAAGTTGTTTTGTTTAATGCCATATTAATGATTTATTCACTGTTATTTTCTTTTGCATAAAAATCATGAGGAGAAAACTAGCTAACTTGTATATGTTGGGCTTAAAAGGAGTCCATACTATTTACTGGCTAATTGGAGTTATTGTTAGAGTTCACAGAAGTAGGGGAACATGAGAGCTCTTTGAATTTGGTTGAAATGGTACAGTATAGAGCCCTCGGTTCACTACTGGTAAGGTTCACTTCAAAATCAAGACATCTACAGTGGGATTCACTACAGGCAACTAACTACTGGATATCTAACCTAGTATACCTGTAGGCACTTACATTCAAGTATTTTAATCTGTAACTGAATCCCGCCTTCTAGATAGAAGTTACCAAAAAGCATTAACATTACTTTGCTTCTACAAGTTGCAGTATTCCCAGCTACAGAGAGGAATGGGTATTTGCTCATTCATGTAATCGCTAGCAAATGACCTTCACTTATCTAAGATTAAAGCTGTTGAGGTATCATCCGGAATATACTCATTGAAAAAAATGGATTCCTGAAGCATTTGATCTTTCATAGTCGCAGACAGTACAAAATATCCTTTTCATACAGTGCAGAATATCCTTTTCATACAATAACCTTCCTCTACATTTCAGACTTTTAAGGTTTTGTGAAATACAAAGATAGTAAACGATGATATGTTAGTCTAAATTACTATATTTGTGTGCATACATTAATGACCTTAAGTAAATTGCTGTGCAGAAGATAACTGTTTCCCTGAGCGGCTTGAATCAGTGCATAAAGGCATTCTTGAGGGTATAAGGACTTGGTTGCTTGCTTTTCTTCTGTTTGGCAAGAGATGTAAGATTTTCTGAAAAGTCAGCTAGCTAGTTGGCTTCGCTCATTGACTGATAAAGACAGTACAACATCCCAGAAAATTGTACTTCATTTGTTCTTCTAGTTATATTTAATGAATTCAGTGGTTCTATAAAGTTATTTTTAGAAGCTTGAGAAGAAACACTTGTTTGTTTGCATGTTTCAACATCAGAATATTCTAATATTCTGTAAAATACTGAAATAAAATCTGTGAATTAGCTTATGGCTAACATATTTTGACATTTTATAAGTACTTATTTTTCCTACGAGGGCACGTACATTAGTGGAAATAATTTTCTTTATGCTTTATTACATATGCAGATAGCAAAGAATAATGACTGAATGAAAGAAATTAAAAATGCTTCTGGGCTCAATAATGCTAACAATGAAAAATAAAACAGTAGCATCTGAGGAACTTTAACTTTATATATTTTACTTACCTTTAATTACTGTTCACGTTTTATTGTGGCTGTATACTCATGCTGTACCTAACAATGCAGGTCTGTGGTTTATGCAGAAGTGGAAGAAGTCTGGTTCTTTATTGCAACTGACATGTCGAGACCATTCAGATCCACGACAAACTTTCTTATACAAACTTAGTAAAAAAGCAGGTAAGCTCTGCTAATAGTTACTGTCTTTAAAGACCACTGTACACAAATGTAAATAGGAAACCTAAAAATATTCATCCAACCAGCTCTTGTTTCAGTTTGTTTAAAAATTACTTTGGCTTTAGTACCTTATTCCTCGAGTAAAGTAAACAGTAAACTGTTTTTTTTCCAGAAGTGAACAGTTACTTTGAGACTTCACTTCTTAACTAATGAACAGAAGCAGCTACCATGCTATATGTGTCAGCCTCCTCTTCAGCCACTGAAGTTAGTAATTTCACTGTGATTAGTCAAGTACATGCACGCTCGTTTAGGATTACCTGTTTCTGTATCTGTTTTTCTTGTTGTTCTATAAATTTAAAATTCTGCTGTAAAGGTTTTGCTAACTAGTCTTTTATTTCCTCATTAAATTGGTCAGGGAAAACAAAAAGTTATTTTGGAAAGGGAAGAAGAAGCTGAACCTCATGTAATAGCTAAAACTAGAGCGTTCACACTATATCATTCATATCACTTTCTGTGTTTTGAATATTCTTATTACAATTATTAGCGGAGAGCCAATTTTTGCAGTGAATAGTATACTGCTTAGGGGCTGGGTTACCATTAAGCATTATGAAGTCACTGAGGGTTTATCATACAAATATTCCCAAACGTGCGTCAGCCAAGCATTCGTGGAGTCAAAGATGCTCATGGTGAGTGTGGTATTGTTTGGTGGAAAATTTGGGCATGCTTCTCCATCAAATAGTTGTAGGCTGTCACAGATGAAATGGCTAACATTGTGGGACCTGTGTTATAGAGCTAATCAGATTAATCAGTTGGCTTTAAAGAAGCTGATATTCTTTGTTTTGATGTGTATATAAAGTTTTTGAACATAATTTGAGAATCTGTTGTTTGAATATTATTGTCTATTCTAGAAATATCTGTATATTCTTTTGACAAACCTCTGTGACAGACTTTTAGAAAGACACAGATAGCATTGTCTTAAGAGTTTGTAACCTGGGTTTGAGCTCTTATTCCCATAAACTGTAGGAGAACCTAAAAATCTTAGGGAGTCATCTTGCTTCTCAAGATCCAGCTTCCTTTTTCTGCCCTCTTACTGAGGAGATGGAAGGAGCTGTATCTTGGGTCACAGCCTCATAGAGCATCTTGTTTCCAGGTCCTTCAGTGAGCTTGACTCAAGGGAGAAGGAAAGGTTGGGGAGACGGAGAGAGAGAGATGTGAAAGTCTGATAATTTTATTTAAGGGAGGAAAAAAAATAGCCTTTTGCTTCCCAAAAAGAAGGAATAAGGTTTTTCTTTAAAGGTTGAGTTAATATATTGCGTGTGCACTGTAGGTGTTGGTATTTTTAACTCTTGACATATGTACAAGGCATATTTCTGTCCTGCCATCTCTTTGTTCAAACAGCGGGCATACAGGATTGGCTATGCTTGACTCTCAATCTCCAGATGAGAGGAGTTTGGGATTTCCCTAACTGTACAGTTTCTCTTTTCAGTTTTTTGACCTAGAGAATTTGCATGCTGTTATCTATAGGGTTTATAAACATATGCTTTCCAGACTTTACCCCAGGCTATGCACAAGAGATTCTGTCTACCAGGACTCAGTGACCACATTGTTAGTGTGAGAGGTGTAGTCCTGATCTTTGCAGTTTATGTTGTTCTTTCTAAACCCGTAGAACAGGAGTGTAAGCTGCAGTAATCTCTGTTGTTCCTTACTGTGGTATCCTCTTCAGATTCTGGCTCTGCAGCTGGCAAAATCTCTAAGGATCTTGCGTATGCTTTTTTATCCTTCATGGCAGCCCAGGTTTACCAGTACTAAGACCCAGGAATGTACTAGAAGCCGTTCTCCTAAAAGGATCAGTGCAGTACCTGACTTTTCTTTTCATCTGCACGTCTTTGACTGTAGTTCACTGGGAAAACCCTTCAGAGTAGTCTCCCAGTGCCTTTTCCAACTTACAGGGCTCCAGAGCATTCAGCCAGTTCCAAAATCAAACGTTGGCTTTGGTGCTTCCATTTATATTACACCAGTACTGTCAAGAAAGACGCCAGGCATGTGACAGAAACTAAAAATATCTTTCTTACACTGTTACTGGAAATGGTTCTGTCACCAGCACAATACCCAGTGCCATGGATATCTCAATATTGGCAGAAACAGCAGTACCAGTTTTGGCTTCCTTTCTCACCTGCAGTCCTCTGGCAGCAAAAGCTGCTGCTGTACCTGCTGTGCTCCAGCTGGTTTCCAGATCATCCCTAAAAGTGGCTGTGGGTCTGGCAGGTGATATTTTGAGGGTCTAGATCTCAGCTGTATTGGTGTATGGTGGTTTGTGAGTTTAGTTCTCAAATTTGCCAGAGGACCTCATCTTGTTGTTTAACCCCAGAATAGATGAAGTTCCTCCTTCCTGTCAAGCATTCTAGGTGAAAATAGAGTTGAGCATCTCCTCTTCTACCTCTTAAAAGAAGCTCCAGCAAATACCTAATACTTAGCACCATTCAGAAATGAGATTTTTTGCTCATATGCATTCTGTTTTGAATCGTGAAGCACTAGCATTTAACACCAGAAATTTTGCAGTCATAACCATGTTTCTGGTAACTCTTTTTCAGTACTGCTTCTATCACAGCAATGCATCTGGGAGAATGTATGACAAACATTTTTGCCAATCTTGCTTTTTCCTTCCCATTTGGGGAAAGGTTGGGCGTCATAGCTGGACATCACCTCAGGCTCTCTGATCTCAGAGTCAAAAGCAAGACTACTTTGTCTCTCTACCACTCCAAAAATTTCTGGAACGTTTGAAATTATGAAGACAGGAAGATAGATAATTTATATAACAATTCTATTTATAGATTTCTGGTCTATAGATAGCAATTGATTCATAAAATCGTAAGTGCCTCTTAAAATGATTGATTCAGTAAAATGCAAATGGCAAGTGGTGATGATGATTAATGAAGTCTCTGTTTTTCTAAGTCTCTGCTTTCCTAAATCACCCTATGGTTTGTCCACAAACTAGTTTTGGTTTATGCACTTAATGCTGTGCTACTGTTGTAGGATATTTTGAAAACGTACAATTCATTCTTTGCTTAGCTATCAAGTTTCTTTGTTAAAGCAGGGAAAGCGACCTTAAAAAGTTAACCTGTTAAAGTCACCTTAAAAAGCCCACTTCTACCTTATCTTTGAGCTTTAGAAGTCAGAAAACAAAACTTGTCAGGCTATGTACTAGGTTGCCATGTGAGAAGAAATCCTTATTGCAAAGAACAAAAGCAGATAGTGAGGAGAAATTGAGACTTAAACATTTGCCATTTCTGATTGGATTGTCATCAGGAGTAGTCAGCATGGATTCATTAGAGGGAAATCATGCTTGACCGAACTGATAGCCTTCTATGATGGGATGACTGGCTGGGTAGGTGAGAGGAGAGCAGTGAATGTCATCCACCTGGACTTCAGCAAGGCTTTGGACACTGTCTCGCATCACATCCTCCCAGGTAAACTCAGGAAGTGTGGGCTGGATGAGTGGACGGTGAGGTGTACTGAGAACTGGCTGGATGGCTGAGCTCCGAGGGTTGTGGTCGGTGGTGCAGAACCTAGTTGGAGGCCTGTAGCTAGTGGTGTCCCCCAGGGGTCAGTCCTGGGTCCAGTCTTGTTCAATGTAGTCATCAGTGACCTGGAGGAAGGGACAGAGTGCACCCTCAGCAAGTTTGCTGATGATACAAAACGCAGAGGAGTAGCTGACACGCCAGAGGGCTCTGCTGCCATTCAGAGGGAGCTGGACAGGCTGGAGAGGTGGGCGGAGAGGAACCTCCTGAAGTCCAACCAAGGCAAGTGCAGGGTGCTGCACCTGGGTGGGAAGAACCCCACTCAGCAGTCCAGGCTGGTGGCTGACCTGCTGGAAAGCAGCTCTGCCGAGAAGGACCTGGGAGTGCTGGTGGACAAGTTAAGCATGAGGCAGCACTGTGCCCTTGTGGCCAAGAAGGCCAATGGTCTCCTGGGGTGCATTAGGCAGAGTGACACCAGCAGGTGGAGGGAGATGATCCTTGCCCTCTCCTCAGCCCTGGTGAGGCCCCACCTGGAGTACTGTGTCCAGTTCTGGGCTCCCCAGGACAGGAGAGACATGGTACAACTGGAGAGAGTCCAGCGGAGGGCTAGAGAGATGATGAGGGGACTGCAGCATCTCTCCTCTGAAGCAAGGCTGCAGGAGCTGGGCCTGTACAGCCTGGAGAGAGAAGACTGAGAGGTGATCTCATCAATGTATCTGAAGGGAGGGTGTCAAGAGGATGAGGCCAGCCTCTTCTCCGTGGTGCCCACAACAGGACAAGAGGCAACGGGCAGAAACTGAACCACAGGCAGTTCCATCTGAAGCTGAGGAAAAACTTCTTTCCTGTGAGGGTGACAGAGCATTGGAACAGGTTGCCCAGAGAGGTGGTGGAGCCTCCTTCCCCGAAAAACCCACCTGGAAGCAATCCTGGGCAATGTGCTCTAGAGGACCCTGCTTGAGCAGGGAGGTTGGACTAGATGATCTCCAGAGGTCCCTTCCAACCTTGGCCTTTCTGTGATTCTGTTATCTAAAAAAATTCTAAATGTTTCTTTGTTCAAATGTGTTTCTAATGTGTGTGTGTGTGACTATTCAAAATTCTTTTGAGTTAAAGCTATTTTAAAATTATCATGATTGGTAATTGCTGACAAAGAACAAGATGTGTCCATGTCTGCTCATAAGGAACAAAAGATATTAGGATAATTCGAAATGAGAGTTAAATTTTATCCTGATTCCTCGATTTTCAGTTACTTTATGCACACGTCACCTTATGTTGCCAGTTGAGAGATTTATATAGTCTTTTGCCCAGTGGTAAATTTAATTTTCTGATGTTGCTTCTTCATAATGATAAATTTTTAGAATTATGTTGCCTTTGGGAATAATCTGCTTGAAATCTGCTTGTCATATCTTCAGCAGCTGCAGTCTGCCTGGTATTTTCTGGGGTCTTGGAGATGACTGTTAATTTCATACTGTGACAAGAAATTGCAGC